AGCTGGTACCTAAAAATAAACATAAGTCAAATATAATAAGAATTACAAATAATCATAATTGAGCGTTAACACTATAAAAAAAAAAAAAAATAAAAAGAATATATTATTATCTACCCATAGGTATATAATAAAACTTAAGCCTACTGTTAATATATAGGAAATAAACAAATACAAATTTAATAGAACATAAATAAGTATGTTATATTTAAGTATGTTTCACTTTGAATGTCTAATAATGTATTAATAACTTCATGAATTGAAGGATGTGATGTGTAAAACTGCGAATTATAATGTCGGTGGAATGATTCTGGTCCATTGGTTGTTCGAGCTTCTTCTGAAGGTTTACCAGCCCATACAAATGGTGGAAAAACCGCTTCAGGGCATACATAATTGTCAAATATATAATCCGAAAAATAAAAGTTGTCAGTAGGAGCATTTTCGATTAAACAAGAAAAGCCATCACCGACTAAATTTTCGGGTAAAAAACCAAGAGCGAAAAAACATTTTAACCAAAGGCCTATTTCTGACTTTGAATTATATTCTTTTAATAAGTCGCTATTGCTTTGGATTTTTCTGAACCGACTTTGACCTAAGTGGAATCTACAGGCAATAATTTTGCTATTCGGAAAACATTCTTTAATAGCATTGTGTGCGCTTTTTTCAAAATCGAAATGAAAATTACAATTAGCCAATGATATTAATACATTTATGCCTGTCAACTTTAAACATAATTTTATAATAGTGCGCCACATATCTACATAATATTCAGTTGATTTTGACGTCAAAAAACAGTATATTAAAGGAATATAAAAACCGTTTTGTAGCGTATGAATTGTGTACAGTTGATCATAGTATTTTGGCGAATGTAAAAATGTGCCATCAGCAAAAATATGATTTGAACGACTTAATATATCCAGATTAGTTGGGCAAGTCAATACAACTATATTTGAAATTTCTTCCATGTAGCAAAAATATTCATCTAAATTAGTTTTAAGAGTATCGCGCAAGTTAAACAATTGAAATTTTGATTCTTCCAGTGATTTTGGAATTGTTGGTAATTTTTTTTACGGAAATCGTACATACTTTTTCTCCATAATTTGATATCAGAATGGACGGTTTGTAAATCATTTTCAGTGCTACGTAGTTCTTGTCGAATTATTTTGTTCGGCCTTGTGAATAAGTTGTTTTCACATTTTCTTTTAATTCGTGAATTTATTATTTGTCTACTAACGATATTTTCCGAAATATTTTCATGATTGTGTTCATTAAGCATGCTAAGAACTTTCGTAACATTATTGTCAACG